GAATCCATAGCCTTGACAGATGAAAACATAGCCATTAACAGATGAAAACCAAAAACAAACAGAGCAGTGTAATGTCAGATGAAGACCAGTTCTTCTAAGTATAACCAAAAACATTAGATAGAGAAGATTATTCATATGAACCATAGCGCCCAACTTACCTACGTGGCTTGCTTGTATTAACAATTCCCAAATCAACTCTTCAAATATATAGAATGAACAGAGAAGAGAAACTGAGAAACATACACAAAATCTCCAGAATCAATCTGAAACCTAAAGTTGGTGAGAGAGAGAGAGAGAGGAACCTGGGGGTCGAGATTCCTGATGTAAACAGTAGCTCTTTGTTCCTTTAGCGAAGTGATGTGCAGGAGTGAAGAGGGTGTCTTAATGGTGGTAGTTTTGTTCATTACAGCCGGCTGGTAAAAGAAATGTTCCTCTCCGTTTGTAGCAGAATAGAGGAATTTTCAATCGACAATATGAGTTCTTAGCCGGAAACTCAACATAATGTTAGGGAAGAGGAGGGCCAGTGGGCCACAACATCTATTTGGGCTTCAAAAAAAAAAAGAAAACAAAATGGAATCTTGTAAAAAAACCCATGATGTGAAATGGCCCAAAAAATGGAAGGACTGGTGTAAAATAAGAAATGAATAATTATTGAGATTCCATTGTATATAGATCGAGAGACTAACCAATGTGTTTATCGAAACATGTCTGTTATTTCAATCAAATTTTTTGTAATATTGATCTTGCATTATGGTTGATAAGAAACAAAAATTATGGTTTATAATAAATATAATATTCATTGTACAAATACTGAAATTTTTTATATATTGTTTTTTGCTTAAATACAGTTTTAGCATTTAGATTCATCGAATTTGAATACAATAATTATTTACTGCATGAACCTCGATGCTAGGAAAGTAGGAAGCAAAAGACCAAAAATAATATGTTGTATACAATATCCCCTCACTACAAGAAAACGTTTCTGTAACGACGACACTTTACGACGAAAAATATTCGTCGTAAACATACATGTACATTACGTGGAGTTTATGACTAATATTGAGTTCATTGTAAAGACCACGTAAAATTACGTGGAATAAATTTGGTCGTAAGACAGATGTAAAATTACGACGAGAGAACGAGGAAAGAGAAATTTTGTCGTAACTTACTTGTAATGTTACGTGGTGTTTCCGACGAATCCTGTTAAAGTTACTTTTCAAAAAAAAACATTTATGGAGTGAACTTCACCTAACAATATTCATTGTATAACTCTAGTAAACAGCATGTGATTAAGTTGTGAATGACAAGTAAAACATTTTGTTGTAATTTTTTTGTAAACTCGTTGTTACACCTTTACCAACCAAACTCGAAAATTTCTTATATATAGTTCATTTGATCACTCTTCTAAACACACAAACAAATAGAAAAACAAAGTACATAGTCATCAGAATAGTTCCTAATCAGTTCCTCATAGATTTTTCTCGAGTAAATAGTTCGAGGAAAGCTATGCGGGATTGTTAGGAACTGTTAAGTTGATTGTTAAAAAAAAATATACAAAACATACAATTTATAATTGAAGGGAGTGCACAGTCACCATAAAAGTTCTTATCAACTCCTCGTAGGTATTCCTCAAGGAAATAGCTCGAGGCTTTTCCTCGAGTAGATAGCTCGAGGAAAGCTATGGGGGGTTGATAAAAACTGTTCCGATGACGGTAAACTCCTTTTACACTACAAGAAAATGTCACGTAAATAGCGACCTGCTACTTCACACAGTATAATCTTAGAAATTGGCCATGCTATCGTCTTAAACAGGGCATCGCTAATCATGTTCATGTGTTCACTTGATCTCCACAAGTAAGTGTCTCTGTTAATCACCGTCTCAATCTTCACTTTTGCAGCATTCGGACCCAAATTAATATCATTGACCATCTTCTTCGGATCAGTCAAAATCAAATATACCTCAGCAACGACTTTAGCATCATTAGTCCGAGCAACAATCTGAATTCTATCTTCCAATGCATTTGTAGCCTAAGTATTCATGCAAAAAAAAAAATATATATATATATATATATATGTGGATGACCTAATGAAGTATAAACTTACTAATGTTATAATTTTCCCAATACGCTGAATACATGATAAGAAACTTACTGAGGAACCAGCAGTCTTGTCTACAGTTGGTGAGTCCATAGTGTCGAGAATGAGCTTATCAATTGGCCATGCTACTTTGGTTCCCACAGCTTCGCCAAGGGAGCTGACAGTTGTTGTAGGCCTTCATATATATGTGATATCACTCAAATTACCCTAAGGAGTGAATTACTCTCATCAAAAGAGGTTCAATCGTAGTACTTAGGGATCGAATCCACAAGGAACTAGAGACACAAAAGATATAATCCTAGGTGATTAAGATAGGTTGAAAAAGGTTTAAAACAGTAAATAAAATAAGTAGCAATGGTACGTTGCTAAAGAGAATAGGTTTTGGTTTAAAAACAATGAAGGAAAATAGTTAGATTCAAGGTTACTATTCAGAAAATCAGGATTATAGATCTATTGATGTCTTAACGAATTGCTTGCAAATATATGAGAACTTCAATCCTTAGACAAATCTATAGCTGTCGCTAGTTCGACTCGTCCATTGATCTGATTGCCGACTGCATTGATCGATGTTGCTATCGCAGTGTCGATCGATATAAGCTGTCTTCGATCGATACCCTAGAAGAGTATCGATCGATATTAAGTACAGATCAGATCGAACTATTGTTCACCCGAGAATTTCTATAAGACCGGCTATCGCATAGTGCCTTAATAGAGTCTGGATTTAGCCAAATGATTTTAGGAAGATGACTATTAGATTAGTCACTCCAAAATCAATACTCTAGGTAGCAAGTCTAGAGTAAGCATTAGGGTTCATTTGGATAATGAATATAACAACTCAACAATCCATAGTTGGGGCTAATCCCTCATAACTATTTGAACCCCAAATCTAACATATGAATCTACTCAGACTTAGCCAAGAGATTCATAGCAAAAGAATAAGAAAAGAAAATACTTTTATTGCTAATATAGAATAGAATACAAAACTTGGTTCAAAAACCTTTCAAAACCTGGTTCTTAAAGCTCATAGGCATAGGTATAAATAGGGAGTATAATTAGGTTAAAAACTCGTAAGGGCATTCTTGTAATTTGGTGAGAACTTGGGCTTCAAGTTGGCCAAATATATCTTGCTCATCACGCTCTGTATCGATCGATGGTACATTGCGTACATCGATCGATGGAGGATCTCGACTTCAACTTCTACGGAAGCGTCATCGATCGTTTACACAGGGTATGTATCGATCGATATGTGTCTCTTATATCGGATCTTCGTAGTCATCTTGGAAAACTCTTCTTTAAGCACCAAAAGGCACCTAAATCATCACTTTACCACAAAATGCTCCTGAACCTGAAAATATACCTAATAGACTCCAAAACATAGATAATTATAATAAAAACATATAGAAAATATGACCAAAAGCGGGTCATGGTCTATCAATATGCTTCCTTATCTGCTACAAACTTAACAACAGCAGCTGCTGCATTCGGTCCAAGTGGAATACGACCAATCTTGTAAGTTGGTTCAACAGAGCATAGTTCTCCTTCACCGACAACAACTTCATTTTCGGAATACCAATCAAGCATCTGACACCTAACTGCTTCTTTGCTGGTAACAGTGTTGGCGGATGGTGAACATTCATCCTGTTCTTTCTGAGAAGAAATTAACAGTTACTATTCCGTTCATAGAGGAAATGACAAAGACAATATGCTATTCACTTACACTTTTCCCTTTAGCTAAGTCACGAACCAAGTGCTTCAAATCTTTAACCTCAGTCACCAGTGCTGCTTGCTTAGCTTCAAGCTTCTGCACATGTGCATCTCTAGCCTGCATGAAAACTAGCTTGGTAGCAGTAATCCCTCTGCCCATTCCTCTGACTCTTCCATGCTTGTCTTTACCAAGAACCTTACTCACAGCATCTTCTTTAATACTAATAACGGAGTTTGAGTCAATCTCACTATCAATTGTTTTAATTTGTTCCTGATATCAAATTTGTATATGTATCAATATAGATTACCAAGTATAACATAAAACAAGGTTTAAAAAAATTCTTACAATTGTGTGTTCAAACTCTGGTTTCACGGGTCTGCCATCTGTGTGGGTGTGCCCAGCTATCCAGATCTTACTTCTAGTAATCTTACTCGGGTCAGATGCATTCTTCTTCTACAAGTAGCAAAATTAAGTAAGGTATAAGGACAACTGAACTCACCAATACACTATATCATAGAGACATACCATTTCATCAGCTAGGCGACCCATTCCTTTGTGACTGGTGGTGTGTGGAATCTGACGCAACCTCATATCTCTGTACTGGTCACTTCGCTCCTACAATCACATTCCAAGAATTAATATAACAGACCTTTAATAAGGAAGAATATTTAAAAGAAACCACCTTGAAAGACTGATCAGTCCTACTCTTCACCCACTTTATTTAAGCTGAGTCACTCTGAATGTTGCTTAGTTTTAAGGATCATATAGTTTATGTATTCCTTGTAGCACGCAGTTTCCTAACTAATCTTGACTTAGAAGCTCTGAAAACGCAACCTATTTGGTGGAAAACAGATGTCCTGTGCCAATCTTCTGTCAAATTGAACCTTGCCTACAATAATTTCCCTGGTTATCATATAAATTATAAGAAAGCAGTAAGTTTTTACGAAATAACAAAAGTTGTACCTGCAGCTCCTCCCACATTGTATCTTTTGTTTGCTCATCAAGGTGCCTCCAATCGTCAACAGTAACTGGTACATACTCTCTCACAAGAGGTCCAATGAAAGAAGAAAGTGTAACTGAACCTTTACCAACAGGTTCACCAAAGCTGGTAAATTGAACTTCCACCTTCTCCTCATGCCTTTTAGCCACTTTATTCATCTTCGTTGGTCCTCTAGTTCTCCTCTTCTTTGTCTTTGACTTGTCTGTCAAACGTTCTTCATGTTCTTTTCCAACTTCTTCTTCTGAACTGTCTTCTTCTTCTTTTTCAGTATTTTCTTTCTCTTTCTCTTTCTCTTTCTCTGCTTCTTCAGTATTTTCTTTCTCTTTCTCTTTCTCTTTCTCTTTCTCTGCTTCAGCTTCTTCGTCTTCTTCTTCTATGTCTTGATCATTGTGTTCTTCATCTTCATTCTCAATCACATCCGCAGGGTCTTTAACGTACGTCCAAGCATCAGCGTCTTCATCAAGATCATCCCCAGGCTCTTCGTTATGCACTTTCTTACTTGAGCAGATGACGGAAGCTGTCTTTTACGACTGGCTTTTTCCTGAGCCAACTTCCCCAACCTTCCTTCAGCAACAACTTTTCCAGCTTTTTCTGTCCTTCAGTCAACGTTTTCTCATCAGTGTGGGTTACGTCAAGGGGCATCTGATGTTTGCTGCGTCTTGGACCATCTTGATTGGCCTTCTTAACCATGTCTCTGAAATAAACATAAGAGAGATTTATAAAAAAACCTGGTAAATATCCTAACTTTACTACTCATAACTCTACTAATCCTAACTCTACTAATCCTTTACTCTACAAATCCTAACCCTACTAATCCTAACTAGACTAATCCATTATGTAGATCCCTTCGCAATCATCCCGAGCACAGAAAGTCTCATCATCAGAAGCTTGATTCTCAAAATCTTCACAGTTTTGAATGGGTGATGATGGTGCAACAAACTCTGCTTCTGTCTCCAGCTCATGGCATCCCCTTGCTGGCGCCTTCATAACTACATACCACGGTGATGAGTCATCTTCTTTGGAATAAAACACTTGTTTTACTTGATACGGCATGATATAGGGATCTTGGCGAAATGCAGACTGGTTTACATGTAGGCTGACTAGCGTGAATCCGTCTTCTTCTTTCACACCGTGCCCTTTGTTGGCCCACTTACACTTGAAGAGTGGAACCTGGAACATGTGATAATCCAGCATTATTATCTCTTGTATTACTCCATAGTACGCAACAATGTCGGCCTTTTGATTAGTATCTCGAGCACTTGAACGACACATGGTGAAAGCTTCATAAGACACTCCACTATTCTGCGTCTTCCTCTGTGCACCATCAGTATGAAAGCGATGTCCATTAACTACATATCCCTTATACGTCTGAGCTTCATCTCTTGGTCCAAAAGCTAACCACCTTAGCTTCTTAGAATGATCTTCTGAGTTACTTGCGATCTACAGAAAAGACAGAGACAAAAAAAAAAAATTAAGAACTTGTTTTAATAAAGAAAGAGACAAAAAAACAGAAGAACTAGTCTTAATTGATCATATACCTTCTCTTTAACCCACTGTGTAAACCTTTCCCCATGATATTTCCACAATAAGGTTTCATTTCTTCTGCATCAGACATCTATATCTTGTAATTCTTCCAAGTGCATACTATAAGCAGTATCCAAAAGTCAAAACATGAATAAACTTATAGGAAATACAGGACAAAAGGTGGTCATACTTACTTAACATATGAAGTGAACATTGATGTGTTCATCAGAACATATCGATGCGCTATCTCCCGCTCTTTATCCGTAAGTGTTAATACTTTAGCCTTGTGAAATGGACGACGTTCGAGGATGTCATCATTTGGTTCAACGTCTTCATTACGGTTTGCATTTTCCCATGCTGGTACAGATTTCTTAAGAAACTCCAATTGGAAGGCCATGCATTCTCCTGCCATGTATCCTTCAGCCATACAAGCTTCTGGCCGAGCATAGTTTTTGACATATGATTTTAGTATCTTCATGTACCTACATCAAACAGATTCAATATTAGTCCAGATTAGCTAACAACCCGTCAAGTAACATAAAAAAGAGAAGGAAAAGTAATGAGTACCGCTCAAAAGGGTACATCCATCTAAAGTGGACCGGACCACCAAACCGTGTCTCCCTTCCTAGATGAAAAGGAAGGTGGAACATGATATCAAACTTACGTTGGAGGAAAGAACCTCTCCAACTGGCACAATGTCTCGACAATCTCACTCTCCAGTGCTTCAAGCTTATCTGGATCAATCACACGCTGACATAATTAATTGAAGAAGTTGCATATTCTATTCACTGCAATACGAGGCCCTTTTGGAAGCATCCCTCTAAGAGCCACAGGTAACATGTTTTGTAGTAATACATGGTGATCATGGAACTTCAAGCCACCAACTGTAGGAAGATCAACTGAAACACAGTTGGCGATATTTGCACAGTAGCCATCCGGTCCTCTAAACTGAGACAATCTCTTGCAGAACTTCTTCTTCTCGGTCTTGGACAGACAATAAGCAGCAGGTGGTAAGTAGTTTCTCTTCCCCCGTACTTGTGCGTGTAAGGTTTCCCAAATCCCCATATCTTCCAAATCTTGTCGTGCCTTCAAGCCATCTTTTAATTTTGCGCTTTGCATGAGTAGAGACAATATGGCATCAGACACGTTCTTCTCAACGAGCATTACATCAATGTTGTGACGCTCAGGCAGTTCCTAGGACATTAAACATCGATCAAAGTCAGACAATGATCAAAAAATCAAATAAGTTAAATTTCTAGAGATTATTCTAACCTTCCAGTAAGGGAGATCGAAGAAAATAGACTGCTTCTTCCACCTCCATCAATCACTTTTTTCATCATATTCCTCTTCTGAAAGCTCTTCATCCTCAACCAAACCAGTTCTCTTTCTTTTTCCTTTCTTATCTAAAGGTCTACCAAAATCATTCCTATAGTCTTTCAACTGCTGAAATATCTCAACCCGTGTTTGAATTCTAGGCACTTTCCCTTCTTCAATAGTGTTATCAAACCAACTCCGTCTATGTCTGTAAGGATGACCTGGTCTAAGTCTTCTCCTATTGTGCAAGTAAACATGTTTTCTATTAAAATTCAGCCACCTAAAAGATGTATCTTTGCCACAAACGTCACATGCTTGTTTACCTTTGACTTTACAGCCAGCCAACGTTCCCAAACCAGGATAATCACTGATAGTCCACATCAACATAGCTCGCAGATTAAAAGTTCCTTAGGAAATGCGTCATAAACCTTGATACATTCACTCCATAAGTCTTGTAGATCCTCTATCAATGGTTGAAGGTAGACGTCGATGTTGTTGCTCGGTGCAGTTGGTCCATGGATCAACATAGTAAGCATTACATTCTCTGCCTTCATATACAGTGTAGGTGGCATGTTGTAGTTCACTAGTAACACTGGTGTGGGAACCGAAATTCACCTACTGTCAAGACTACGTAAATAAAGGAATTTAGAGTAAACCCTAAATTCCCAGCTATCTGCGGAACCGCACAAGAACAATCAAGAACACGACAAGTATGAAATAAAGATGTAAAATAACGAGATCGAGAACAAAAAGAGTCTTATTCTGAATCTGCGTAAGAACGGTACAACCAGAGTAAGCGTTAGCCACATGAGCCGTCGGCGAGATCCCTAACCCTAGCAGTCTAAGACTAAAACCCTAGTTGAGACGCAGCTCGATAACAAAAACGAAAAAAAACCCTAAGTCCTAAGTTTGGTGGTGAAAGCTCTGAAAACTCGTCCTCTGCTTATGTTACCTGCCTTTTGCTTATATACACCCTTCATAGGCAGTTCAGTCCTTCATTTTTTCCCAGATTCGAGTTTATCGGGAATCTTCCATTTATCTCGATCTTTTTTTTTCCTGTGCGGAAATTTTTATTTATCTTCAAACTTGACATTTATTTTCAAACTTGACATTTATCTTCCTTCTGCTAGTAAATCCAAAAACCGTCATTGTATCTTTGGGAAAGTCGTAAGTGGGTTTTTATCGCGCTTTTGGGCTGTCCGAGCTGTTTTGCGATAAAAACCGTTTTACGATTTTTGACGAGATCGTTTCCTGATACGATGCCGCTTTTATAAGATTTCTAGAGTTGATCATATAGTTCGACAATGTACGATGTTCTCTTTAATCGTTGCCGTTTTATACGATCTTCCACAACTTTACGAGAAAAGAAGAGTTTTACGATTCTTATCGTAAAACTTAAACGGCGAGATGGATCGAGATGAAACGAAAGATGTTTCGACCATGGTTCAGAGCATGATCGAACCGAATGACGTATGCCTTGATTCGAGGACATGGGAGATCAAAGCTCGGGATGGTCAGCTCGACATACGGCGAACTGAACCGGGAACGGTTCCGCTCGCCGTACGGCGAGCTGTCGGGAGATGGCCCAACTTCTGTTGCTCCTTGCTCATACTCAAGGCTAGTCCAATAAATAAGAAAATATTTCAAAATTAGACCATAAGAAATTCAGTTCTGAATAAAGGAATTAACAATAATAACACATAAAACCTTACCTTGGAAGCCAAACCCAAGACTTATCCATGTCACACCACCACCACAGCTCCACGGTCAAATGGTTTCAAACATGTGTTTCAAACATATGTTAAAAATGAACATCAGCCCAAACACAACAAGACTCTAGAGACATATACGAGAGTAATAAGGATTATCTGCAAAGTACCTCTAGATTACAAAGATCTTGTAAAGGATAATCTACAAAAGAACAAAAAAATTAGACAACGCTAATTCAACACAAAAATCAATAATCTGTCTGTGAAACAGAACAAATACCCCAGCTTGAATCCAACACATAAATCTGTCTCTTATACCTGTCTGAAAGGCCGTTTTTAGTCAACAAAAACATCGAAATCGATAAAACATCAAATTAAAACCCTAATAATTCACATACCTCAGGATTACGAGAAAGATCTTCGGCCGCCTATAATTCCCTGTAAAACGCCCAAAAACTAATTAACATTTCGAAACCCGAAGAAATCAAACCTTCAATCGAATTCTGAAGACAGTACCTTCAATCGAATTGAGAGAAAGAGAGAATGAAAAAAAGAGAATATGTTTGAGAGAGAGAGAGAGAGAGAATATGTTTGAGTGAAGGAGAGTGAGAGAGAATGAAAATTAGTCTACAGATTGTGAGAGGGAAAACTCAAGATTGAGAGGGACGACAAATAAAAGAGGGACGACAAAAACAATGAAAAATACTCTAAGTACTTTTCCCGGTATAATGAAATATTTCCGCCTAAACTTAACATAGCTTTTCTAATGCTATATAAATACGCTTCTTTAAAAAGTATTACTAAGGTTAGAGTCCGCAAAATAAAACATATCATGCATTTTAAAAAACGTTATCTTAAAGTACGCGCTTCAGTAAAGATTGCATTTTCGACCAAAACGCTATCTTATTATGCTATCAATACTCACTTCCCTTGTAGTGTTAGTTTCTTTTTTACATTACTTTCATCGTAAATTTGTCGTAAATTTACGTCGATATTACATAGAAAAAGCCCAAGTTATTTATTTGATACGGTTTTAAATTTTTTTTTATTATTCGTAGTAATTTCGTCGTAAATTACAACGAATATACGACAAAAAATCATATTCATCGTAAAAGACATGTAAATTAACATGTGTTTTACAACGACATCTTACTTTTTGGTAGGTGAAAACGTTTTTTAGTGTAGTTCAACTACCACAAGTGTTTTTTGT